CCGTGGAGTCGGAGAGTTCCAGGGCAGAAGGGGCCATTAGATCACAGGCTGCACCCATCACAGAGTCACCCCCTTACGGCACCGGCAACTTTCAGCCACTTGCCCTGTGAGCAATTGGTGTCTGGGCAAAGCTTCCTGTGGAAAGGCAGCGGTAGGTGCTTGCTGGGCGCAGAGGCACGGGCAGACTGGCAGGCTCCCCCCACAGCCTCTCCTTCCTTTGCCCGTGTCACTTCCTGCTGGTGTCCAGCCTGGTGTGCTGGGCACCCCTGCACCGGCATGCGTCCGTCCAGTTCACCCCGGGGGAAGCCGCGCTACTTGCACCGTGGCAACGTGCACAGACTTGCCCTCAAGCCAGCTGTGTTTGCTGAGGAGAACGTGGCTTCTACCTGCACAACATCTGTTCAAACAGAGCATCTGCCCGACAGGTACTTGGGCCTCTGCAGGGTGACTTCTGCCCCAGATGAGACATTTAGCCCCTCCCCTTGATAAAAACGGGAGCTGCTGAGCTCTGGCCATTTCTAGGCTGGGTGAGATGGTGGTGGTGGCTGCGGCGCTAAACTAAACCCGCCTGTTTTAGCTCCCGCTAGAGGAATCAGTCACCTGCTTATTTACAACTAAGCAGCTTCTTAAAAATTACATTCTTGTGACTGTGAAGCTACTGATCTGGAAATTAACTCGACAGTTCACACATCCTTTCACACACGGAGAATTTCTCTGCTTGACTCACAACACGAGTTGAACTTTTCACACCATCCAATTCCAGTCAAAGTGTGTATTTTAACCATGCTTTACACACCCAGCCAATATTTCCTGTGTAAAATGGGGACGTGTGAAGGTGGCTGTGGAATTGCAGGCGAGGTCTCTTGAAGGAACTGGGGCAGGCGATATGTGAAGGGCTAAATGCAGAAGGGGTCACTTTTCCCACCCTGGGGACAAGCAGCAGCCACGGGACCCAGGAAGAATGGGAGGGTCACACGCCTGGCTGAGAGCCCAGGAAGTAACTGGCTCAGGCCGCAAAATCCCTGACTCTTGTGTAAATCCTTGTTCAGTTCGCTGTCCGTGGACCCGCAGCCCAGTGGATTCGCTCAGGCTCCGTCTGCTTCTCATCACTGGCTGGAGGAACCAGTGTGCAGGACCAACTGGGCACCAGCTGGTAGCTGGGCTGTCCTGGCGAGGGCGCCCCTCACTGCTGGAGCGGAGAGACACCTGATGGAGAAAGGGAACGTGACTGAGTAGCCAAAGAGAGAAGAGCCCAGAGAGAGGCCAGGTTCAACTCATCCTGCAGTGCCACCCGGTGCCGATCTTCCCACTGCGCCATGTGTCAGATCCACACGCAGCATCTCCTGTACGTGGGACGCTCCCACCCTGCCCACAGCAACCCCCGTCTGCAGCTCCTCCATCTGCAGGCTGCTCTGCTCAGCCCTGGCTGCTGTGTGCTAGGGACAGACCCAGAGAGTCCTACGTACCCCCGCACGCAAGCCAGGCTGGCACTTGGCTACTTGGTACCACGGTTGCGGGGCCATCCTGAGCGGCGAACCCCCCTTTTCCTCCTCCCCCGGCCGGGCGCTAGCTGTAGAGGAGGCCCAGCGCTGAGACGACTGCTGGACTGGCTCAGCGGAGGCCTTGGGGCCGTGCGATGCACTTTCTCTTGTGCCTCGCAGACCGCTCCACGCTCTGGTTTCGTGTCACCTTTGCACCCAACCCCCCACAGGACCTGGGTGAGACCCGCACTCACGTGCTAAGCTGTTGGATGCAGCTCCCTAACCAGCCCTGCCAGTCTGGGACCGGCCGCTCCTGAGCTGGCCTAGATCGAATGGGGAGGGGAAGCGTCTCTGAGCAGAGCAGCTCCGCCTGCCCTCAGGGCTGTGCTCTCCGGGCCACCCCCCCCCGCCGGGCTCCCGGAGCTCAGCTGCAGAGATGTGTCTCCTCGGAGTGGGGCTCCGGCCACGGTTTCGTTGCCACGTGGGAGCTGCACCACAGGAGAGGTCTGGCCACAGGGAAGCTCCAAAACAGAAGCCAGCGCCCAGCCCAGAAAAGTCTGGTCTCCTCCCCACCCGATCCGAGATCCCCCACTGCCCCATGTGCATCCCCAGAGCGCTGCACGGCCGGGCCGGCCCAGCCGCCTTATGCTTAGTCACAGCCAGTAAAAGGAAGGGGGATGGGGCGTGGATGTGTTGTGGCACATTTGTGCAAAGCCTATCTGTGTTTCCCAGCAGCTCTGGGTTGCATCACAGGAGAACATCTGGTAGCTCCTGGCTGGTTGGCTGCCTGACGCGTCAATTGTGCAAGGAAGGGTTGGAACTGGCATCTGAGGGCAGTCATTTTGCAGTTCACGAACCATTTTCTGCAATTACAAAAGGCCAGGCTGTGGGCAGAGGGGCTGAGGGGGAGAGAGACAAACCTGCGGGGTAAATCTGCTCCTGCTGCAGACTGGAGCCGTTAGGCATGGAGGTGAGGCTGGCGGGTTATGGTACGAGCCTGGCAGGAGACGTGCCGGAGAGCTCCCCTGCGGCACGAGGACGCCACGCCTGCTGGTTTTGCCGTGAGCAGGAAGAGACACTTCAGAGGCCTCCCCACCCCCAGCCACGCTCATGACACCCCCAAAGCTAGAAACGTCCCAGCCCCGGCAATACTCCCTCTAATCTCCGGCCACGTGCGGAATCCACCAAGGAGAATCACGCTCGGCGGGGTGCGAGCTGCCAGTCAGCCTCGGAATCTCTCCTGAGCGCCGCACACGCGCCCGGCTCGCGGGCAACGCTGCCCCAGCGAGTGCAGGAGACCCGTGTGCGCTCAATACTGGACTCAGATGTCCCTGGCCTGCCCAGCTCCAGCCCATTATGGCTGAAGACACATAGGTGTGATTCTCACTCTGATCACACCCTCCTGCACCATCACACCCCCGAGTCCCTGGCTGGGAGAGTGACCAGGAGCCCTCCCGCCTCCCTCAGCGGCCGGCCGCCCTGTGCCTCTTCCTGCAGCCAGTTCTCCAGCCATTGGCTGCAGCGCTCACAAGGCGATGGCTGGCCACAGACGTTGGGCGCCCGCAGGCCGGCTGCGGCACGGGCAGGAAACGGCCCCGCCGTGGGGACCATGCCTGGTCTGGGAGGCTGCAGGAGATAGGCCTTGAGGCGAGCTGATCGCCCCGAGTAGCCAAGGAAACCTGCTGGTCCCCCCCGGGTCCTGCCCCCCAAGCCTCCCTGGGCCAACACCCGAGTGCTGCACACAATTGGCGCGGCCGCGTTGGACCCTGTTGGGAGCTGTTGGCCTGGCCTGCCCCGGGTAGAACACGCCGCTCCCCGTGGGGAGCCTGCTTCCGCACGGCAGGGTGGTCGCGGCTCGTGGGGCTGGCAGGAACCCCGCAGCCCGGAACAGGCTCAGGCTGCCTTGTGGGCCGCAGGCCTCAGACGCAACGAGCCCTGGGCAAAGGGAGCAACAGACATCACGGGGCCCGTCCTCTCCTACAGCCTGGGGTCTTTGGGCCTATTCCCCTCCCCCGGGCTGCTGCTGCCCTCCACCCTGAGAGGCCGTTTCAGAGGGGCTGGCCTGCCCGTGTGGGATCCCTTGAGGCTGGCGGGCAGGGGAACGGCCCTGAGCCTAGCCCTGCGGCCACGGCTTTGTCGTCACTTCCAGGGCCGGCTGTGCTGACACGCCGGGCTGGCCAGGGACCGTGGCTGTACCGCACAGGCAGCCACGCACTGGGCTGAGCAGAGCCATGCCTGGGGCTCCGAGCCGGGTCCCCCTCGCAGCCAGGTGCAGCTCTGCAGGTGCTGGGGGCCCATCATACCGCAGACATCTGCACCCACCTCCTGCCAGCACAGCAGGACCTCAGGCTGGGAACAGAGCCAGGGACCCACCCGTGGCAGAGTAGCCACCCGTCAGCTGGGACTCCCCCTTTCCCCCCAGGGCCCTGCCCACCAGGGTGAGCACAGATCATACATCCAGCTGCTCTCTCCCTCGCTCTCGCGCCCTGCCCTGGCTGGGTACCGAGGGGTCAGTGTCTGCTCACCATTGGCCTCGGGGGATGGAAGCAAGACAGGCACCAAGCCCCTCGGGCTCCTCGCTGGCACCCGCGGGGTCCTGCACGTGCTCGCGCCCCAGTGATGGGAGGGTCTCCCCGGGCCTGGGGGGCCCCTCGTTTGGCACCCAGCCTGGCTGCTGCAGGAATAAATCTCTCCCCGCCTGGGGCCCATGGAGCAGCCACACAGGGCAGGCTGCTGCCAGCGTGGCCTGGCCGGGAACCCGGGACCGGGAGGCACGGCTGGGCAGGGGCGCAGGGCAGGCACAGCGCAGGGAGACGAGGCGACACGGCCGCAGGGCAGGCACAGCGCAGGGAGACGAGGCGAGTGGAAAATCCTTTATTACACAGGTTCCTCGGCTGCCTTAATCCTTTGGGCTCCGGCCCGCGCCACCTCCCGGTCGCGAGCCTGGGCCTGGGGCGGGGGTGCTAGTCGAGTCCGAGCGGGAGGCAGGCTGGTGCGTGGGGAGGGGGCGGAAGCAGGGGAGGGGCAGCAGTAGCTTAGCAGGGGCTGAGCCGCAGCCGGTTCAGTGCGAAGTCTCTGGGCACAGGGGGAGGAAGCAGGCTGCACTGATCTCAGGACAAAGGCCCAGGCGCTGGCTGTTCGCACAGGGCGGGAGGCAGAGCACAGCGGCCCGCCTGGCTCTCACCGCGCAGAGAGCCCCCGAAGCCTGCCAGCCATGCCAGCCCCCCAGGCCCGAGGGAGTGCGCCCCCCGTGGAAGCCACTGCGAGTGCAGCCTGCCAGCCGCGC